ATGTACTAAAAGTTTTAACAAACTCCCGGAAAATTTAGTCGTTTCTTGTAAACATCAATCATAAAATTATCGTGTCTAGGCAACCAAACAAACACTTAAATAAAAATATTTATTCTGGAAGTGTTAGAGATTTTGAAAGGGAGATCCAGATGTGTAGAACACCGGAAAATTTATGCCACCCTGGAACGAAAGGCCGAAATTTTACTTCATTTAAAAGTAACAACGCTTTGGTTTCTCAGAGCTATTGGTATCTCTGGAAAATTCCCGATTTCCACCCCCTGAAAGAATCTCCTGAACCCGTTGTGTTTTACTTTCTAAGTACATAATTCGAAAAATCTCGAGGACCCCTTGTGTCTAAATTTTGAAGCAGTTTGAAAGCATTTCGGCGATCCTTTGTGTCTGGTTTTTGAAGTATTTAGAAAGAATCTCGAGTGCCACTTTTATTTGATTCTTGAAGTAGTTTGAAGGAATCTCGATGGCCCTTTGTGTCTGGTTTTGAAGTAGTTTGAAAGAATCTCGGGGACCTCTTGTGTCTACTTTTCTTCAAATTTTGCAAAATTTGAAGAAGGGGGAACCATTAAAAAATTTCAATTTTAAAAAAGTTGTCTAAAAATTATGAAAAAATTCAAGGACGTAGATCTCGACACGCTGATTTCAAAAATATAGCATGTTGATGGTTACGAATTTTTGAAAATTTCTAAAATTTCGAAATTTCAACGGTCGATTCTGGAAAAACGGTTGCAGGTATCAAAAAACCGAAGTCGGATTAGGGTTCTAGAGCTCAAAATCTACAAGAAAATGTGTGGTTTTCAATTTTAAAAAAGTTGTCTAAAAATTATGAAAAAATTCAAGGACGTAGATCTCGACTCGCTGATTTCAAAAATATAGCATGTTGATGGTTACGAAGCAACATTTTCGAAAATATCGCTGCGAAATGCGAATTTTTGAAAATTTCTAAAATTTCGAAATTTCAACGATCGACTCTGGTAAAACGGTTGCAGATATCAAAAAACCGAAGCCGGATTTGGGTTCTAGAGCTCCAAATCTACAAGAAAATGTGTTTAGTTGAGTTTCGAAAATGTCAAAATTTTTACGAAATTTGAAGAAGGGGGGACCATTAAAAAATTTCAATTTAAAAAAAGTTGTCTAAAAATTATGAAAAAATTCAAGGAAGTGGATCTCGACACCCTGATTTCAAAAATATAGCATGTTGATGGTTACGAAGCAACATTTTCGAAAATATCGCTGCGAAATGCAAAATTTTTAAAATTTTGAAAATTTCGAAATTTCAACGGTCGATTCTGGAAAAACGGTTGCAGGTATCAAAAAACCGAAGCCGAATTTGGATTCTAGAGCTCGAAATCTACAAGAAAATGTGTTTAGTTGAGTTTCGAAAATGTCAAAATTTTTGCGAAATTTGAAGAAGGGGGGACCATTAAAAAATTTCAATTTTAAAAAAGTTGTCTAAAAATTATGAAAAAATTCAAGGACGTAGATCTCGACACGCTGATTTCAAAAATATAGCATGTTGATGGTTACGAAGCAACATTTTCGAAAATATCGCTGCGAAATGCGAATTTTTTAAAATTTCTAAAATTTCGAAACTTCAACGGTCGATTCTGGAAAAACGGTTGCAGGTATCAAACAACCGAAGCCGGATTTGGATTCTAGAGCTCGAAGTCTACAAGAAAATGTGTTTAGTTGAGTTTCGAAAATGTCAAAATTTTTGCGAAATTTGAAGAAGGGGGGACCATTAAAAAATTTCAATTTAAAAAAAGTTGTCTAAAAATTATGAAAAAATTCAAGGACGTAGATCTCGACACGCTGATTTAAAAAATATAGCATGTTGATGGTTACGAAGCAACATTTTCGAAAAAATCGTAGCGAAATGAGAATTTTTGAAAATTTCAAAAATTTCGAAATTTCAACGGTCGATTCTGGAAAAAGGATTGCAGGTATCAAAAAACCGAAGCCGGATTTGGATTCTAGAGCTCGAAGTCTACAAGAAAATGTGTTTAGTTGAGTTTCGAAAATGTCAAAATTTTTGCGAAATTTGAAGAAGGGGGGACCATTAAAAAATTTCAATATTAGAAAAGTTGTCTAAAAATTATGAAAAAATTCAAGGACGTAGATCTCGACACGCTGATTTCAAAAATATAGCATGTTAATGGTTACGAAGCAACATTTTCGAAAATATCGCTGCGAAATGCGAAATTTTTAAAATTTTGAAAATTTCGAAATTTCAACGGTCGATTCTGGAAAAACGGTTGCAGGTATCAAAAAACCGAAGCCGGATTTGGGTTCTAAAGCTCGAAATCTACAAGAAAATGTGTTTAGTTGAGTTTCGAAAATGTCAAAATTTTTGCGAAATTTGAAGAAGGGGGGACCATTAAAAAATTTCAATTCAAAAAAAGTTGTCTAAAAATTATGAAAAAATTCAAGGACGTAGATCTCGACACGCTGATTTCAAAAATATAGCATGTTAATGGTTACGAAGCAACATTTTCGAAAAAATCGCTGCGAAATGCGAATTTTTGAAAATTTCAAAAATTTCGAAATTTCAACTGTCGATTCTGGAAAAACGGTTGCAGGAATCAAAAAACCGAAGCCGAATTTGGATTCGAGAGCTCGAAATCTACAAGGAAATGTGTTTAGTTGAGTTTCGAAAATGTCAAAATTTTTGCGAAATTTGAAGAAGGGGGGACCATTAAAAAATTTCAATTTTAAAAAAATTGTCTAAAAATTATGAAAAAATTCAAGGACGTAGATCTCGACACGCTGATTTCAAAAATATAGCATGTTGATGGTTACGAAGCAACATTTTCGAAAATATCGCTGCGAAATGCGAATTTTTTAAAATTTCTAAAATTTCGAAATTTCAACGGTCGATTCTGGAAAAACGGTTGCAGGTATCAAACAACCGAAGTCGGATTTGGATTCTAGAGCTCGAAGTCTACAAGAAAATGTGTTTAGTTGAGTTTCGAAAATGTAAAAATTTTTGCGAAATTTGAAGAAGGGGGGACCATTAAAAAATTTCAATTTTAAAAAAGTTGTCTAAAAATTATGAAAAAATTCAAGGACGCAGATCTCGACACGCTGATTTAAAAAATATAGCATGTTGATAGTTACGAAACAACATTTTCGAAAAAATCGCTGCGAAATGCGAATTTTTGAAAATTTCAAAAATTTCGAAATTTCAACGATCGACTCTGGTAAAACGGTTGCAGATATCAAAAAACCGAAGCCGGATTTGGGTTCTAGATCTCGAAATCTACAAGAAAATGTGTTTAATTGAGTTTCGAAAATTTCAAAATTTTTGCGAAATTTGAAGAAGGGGGGACCATTAAAAAATTTCAATTTGAAAAAAGTTGTCTAAAAATTATGAAAAAATTCAAGGACGTAGATCTCGACACGCTAATTTCAAAAATATAGCATGTTGATAGTTACGAAGCAACATTTTCGAAAAAATCGCTGCGAAATGCGAATTTTTGAAAATTTCAAAAATTTCGAAATTTCAACGATCGACTCTGGTAAAACGGTTGCAGATATCAAAAAACCGAAGCCGGATTTGGGTTCTAGATCTCGAAATCTACAAGAAAATGTGTTTAATTGAGTTTCGAAAATTTCAAAATTTTTGCGAAATTTGAAGAAGGGGGGACCATTAAAAATTTCAATTTTAAAAAAGTTGTCTAAAAATCATGAATTATGAATCTCGCCGTCCTCTTGTGTCTGGTTTTTGAAGTAGTTTGGAAGAATCTCGGGGACCCCTTTTGTTTTGATTTTGAAGTAGTTTGAAAGAATCTCGAGGACTCCTTTTCTTTTAATTTTTAAATAGTTTGAAAGAATCTCGGGGACCTTTTGTGTCTAGTTTTTGAAGTAATTTGAAAGAATCTCCTAGACCTCTTGCGTCCAGTTTTTTAGCTAGTTTGATAAAACCCTTTGTATCTAGTTTTTGAAGTAATTTAAAAGAATCTTGGGGACTCCTTGCGTCTTCCTAGTTTTCGAAATAGTTTGAAAAAATCTCACGGATGTGTGTATTTTTGAAGTAGTTTGGAAGAATCTCGGGGACCGTTTGTGTCTAGTTTTTGAGATAGTTTGAAAGAATCGCGAGGCTTGTTTATGTCTGGTTTTTAAAGTAGTTTAAAAAAAATTCGGAGAGTCCTTTTGTTTAGTTTTTGAAGTAGTTTGAAAGAGCCTCGGGTCGCATTGTGCCTGGTTTTTAAAGTAGTTTGAAAGGATCTCAGGGATTTCTTGTGTCTAGTTTTTGAAGTAGTTTGAAAAAACCTCGGGGACTCCTTGTGTCCAGTTTTTGAAGCATCAGTCTGCAAGAATCTCGGAAACCCCTTGTATCTAGTTTAATCTGAAATAATCTCGGGGACGTTTTGTTTTTGGTTTTTGAATAAGTTTGAGAGAATTTCGGACACTTCACCCTTCGGAGATGCTCCCCCATTTTCTAACGGTTGTCACAGAAATCGGTGCGAATTTGATCAATCCATGACACGCAAATACCCGCCCACACCCATCGTGGGATTCGAGATAAGTTTACCGAACGTGCGATGAGTTGTTTGTGACGTAATCGATGAAACAAAAAATGTTTACGACAGGTGGAAGTAAACGACTCGATGATTTTTTATGAATACTAATTCCGAACAATGAACAATTTTCGATTTCACTTGATGAATGCGTAAAGAGTGCTCGAATCTGGGTTTCGCAAAGGCCGGATTCGTGACAAGGTTTTTCAAAATTAAGCGAAATTGAGGATCGGGGAGGGGCGTTGGGTCATCCTTGAATTCGCGGAAGGGGAAAAGTAATAATTGATGACGTCACGTCGTGTTAGTTCGTCAAAGAAATTTTCGGACTTTAAAAATGTGCAGTAACGAATACGTCAGTGAAATTAAATTACAAACATGTCAAGATAAGGGGACAATTAATAAAAAAATAAACAAAATTGCGGAAACTGGTTAATTCGTTTTTAACTCTCTTATTAGATGATCCGAAACCGGTTTTTAACCAACCGAGAAAACATTTATATTTATATTTATTTCTGGTAATGCTATTAAACGGTAATTAATGTGAACCAGCTTATCGAATGCACGATTATGCCCATTCGAGCGATTTAGATCCCATTGTTTTGTACAAATTTGATCATTGCGACATTCGTGCCGCGGTTCTGTCACCTGTTAAAATAGAACCCCTCCCGCCCCATCCGTTCCCGGGCCAAAAATACACAACTTTGTCATACTTGAATCACTCTGTTCTTATTACACTTAAGCAATAACCGCTTATCTAAATCACCGAGTAAATATAAGTTACAAACAGCGCAATAACTCGTTATTCATCAGAATGTGCAAGTGGATGTTCTTCAAGACCTCCTCCGTCAAATCTTCTTACGAGTAAGCCCCAACCCGCCGCCTCCACCCCCTAACCGAGATCTTGCAGGGTCGACGCCGGCAGCTCCAGGAAGTCCAGCACCGCCGACATCCCCGGCCTCGACGAAGAAACCAAAGTGCAGTCCCCCTCAGAGGCCTACCGCGAGACCAAGGACAGCTGAGCCATGTCCACCGTAAAAATAAAAAGTTTTGTCACTTCTTGGCGAAACCCGCTCACGTCGTTCGCTTTACATAAAAGAGAAACGCCAGTTCCAGATTTCCACCGCATCGAATTGTAGTCACATCGCGCAAAATAAATATGTAAAAGCGGCTGCGTTTTCTACTAATAAATCCGTTTCAGTTCTTGTAAGTCGCCGTCTGTTTTTTCGCACACTCACGTTCGGCTCTGCGCGTGCACTTGCCCTCGGCGGAGTCGAAGGCGAACCCGCGGGGGCAGGTCACCTCGATGGGGTCCTGCTCGTTGTGGAAGCAGATGTAGAACTGGCGGCAGCTGCTGGGGTCGGCGAAGCTGCCCTCGCTCTCGCAGACGAAGGGCTTGTAAGGAGGGTGCTGCTGGGGGCGCGGGTGCTGGCAGTGGCCGCAGCGCTTCCTGAAGGTCTTTTCGGTGCACTTGCAGTGGCACTTGCATTTGGTTTTTTCCGGTTCGGGTTTCTCGTCGTACTGTCTTCTGTTCTTCCGGAGCTTCTGCTCGAGGTTTCGCTTGAGGAGCTTTATCAAGTAGTCTTTACTCCGGTAGTTGCGGATTTTTTGGACGAAGGGGTGGAAGAGGGAGTTGTCGGAGTTGAAATCTACAATTTTGCTCTCGGACATTTCAGGTGGAAGAACGAGGAAGAGAAAGCTGCTGATCAGAAATGTCTGAAATGAGCTAAGTAATTAAAGTCGAACGTACGGTATTAAGTACCTGGAATATGGACATAAAAAATAATGAAACTCGTTCAACATGACAAACGTATATTTTGACAGTCTAACTTCATGGTGACATTGTACAAGGACATTCGTAGTCTGTGTTACAGATTTGGATACTGGGATCAAAGTGAGATCCCTGAGGACAAAAGTACTCGGTTTGTATTAAAGTACCGTTTCTTAGAAGGTTACAGAGATAGTACGTGGAACAGGTTTCGTCTTTTGGGTTCAAAAATCTTCCTTTTTCTGAACATGTAAATTCTTCGTTGTTTGGGTTTGCGAGACATGCCTGGGGTGTCGTTAGCTCAGTACTGGTTGAAGATGGTGTTGTAGATGTTTCTAAAGTTGGTAATTCTACGTTTGTAGAACAAGGACATGTGTAAAAAATATTGCAAACTTGGAGTTCCGGGTCAAACCGGGAACCAGAGGGACAAATATACTGTGTTTGAACGAAAGTCCCATTTCGTAATAAATTGCATAGAAAATATGTTGTACAACTTTGATCTTTGGGATTACGAAACCTTCCTTTCTCTGAACAACTAAATTCTTCTGTATTATTTCCATCAACAAAACATTCTGTTGACGTAGAGGTTGTAGAGGTAAAAGCTGGTGTAGTATATGTGATATGTTCTGAAGATGAAGTTTCAACACTTTCTGAACTTGTCATCAAACAAGGACACTCGTAGAAAATATTGCAGATTTGGAGTTCAGGGTCAAACCTCGAACCAGACGGACAAGTATACTGTGTTTGAACGAAAGATCCATTTCTTAACAAATTACACAAAAAGTATGTTGTACAAGTTTCATCTTTTGGATGGCGAAATCGTCCTTCTTCGGAACAACTAAATCCTTCTATATTATTTTGATGAGCAAAACATTCAGTTGACGTCGAAGTTGTTGACGCAAAAGGTGTTGTAGTCGATCTAGTATTTTCTGAAGATGATGGTTCAACACTTTGTGAACTCAAGGTGGATGTTGAAGATGTTGTACTTGTCACCAAACAAGGACACAAGTAGTAAATATTGCAGATTTGGAGTTCAGGGTCAAACCTCGAACCAGAAGGACAACTATACTGTGTTTGAACGAAAGATCCATTCCTTAACAAATTACACAAAAAGTATGTTGTACAAGTTTCATCGTTTGGATGGCGAAATCGTCCCTTTGCGGAACAACTAAATTCTTCTATATTATTTTGATGAGCAAAACATTCAGTTGACGTCGAAGTTGTTGACGGAAAAGGTGTTGTAGTCGATCTAGTATTTCCTGAAGATGATGGTTCAACACTTTCTGAACTCAAGGTGGATGTTGAAGATATTGTACTTGTTACCACACAAGGACAAAGGTAGAAAATATTGCAGATTTGGAGTTCAGGGTCAAACCTCGAACCAGAAGGACAAGTATACTGTGTTTGAACGAAAGATCCACTTTTTAACAAATTACACAAAAAGTAGGTTGTACAAGTTTCATCTTTTGGGTGGCGAAATCGTCCCTCTTCGGAACAACTAAATTCTTCTTTATTATTTTGATGAGCAAAACATTCAGTTGTCGTCGAAGTTGTTGACATAAAAGGTGTTGTAGTCGAACTAGTATTACCTGAAGATGATGGTTCTACACTTTCTGAACTCAAGGTAGATGTTGAAGACGTTGTACTTGTTACCAAACAAGGACAAACGTAGAAGATATTGCAGATTTGGAGTTCAGGGTCAAACCTCGAACCATAAGGACAAGTATACTGTGTTTGAACGAAAGATCCATTTCTTAACAAATTACACAAAAAGTATGTTGTACAAGTTTCATCTTTTGGATGGCGAAATCGTCCCTCTTCTGAACAACTAAATTCTTCTATGTTATTTTGATGAGCAAAACATTCAGTTGACGTCGAAGTTGTTGATGCAAAAGGTGTTGTAGTCGATCTAGTATGTTCTGAAGATGATGGTTCAACACTTTCTGAACTCAAGGTAGATGTTGAAGATGTTATACTTGTCACCAAACAAGGACACACGTAGAAAATATTGCAGATTTCGAGTTCAGGGTCAAACCTCGAACCAGAAGGACAAGTATACTGTGTTTGAACGAAAGATCCATTTCTTAACAAATTACACAAAAAGTATGTTGTACAAGTTTCATCTTTTGGATGGCGAAATCGTCCCTCTTCGGAACAACTAAATTCTTCTATGTTATTTTGATGAGCAAAACATTCAGTTGACGTCGAAGTTGTTGGCGCAAAAGGTGTTGTAGTTGATCTAGTATTTTCTGAAGAAGATGGTTCAACACTTTCTGAACTCAAGGTGGATGTTGAAGATGTTGTACTTGTCACCAAACAAGGACACACGTAGAAAATATTGCAGATTTCGAGTTCAGGGTCAAACCTCGAACCAGAAGGACAAGTATACTGTGTTTGAACGAAAGATCCATTTCTTAACAAATTACACAAAAAGTATGTTGTACAAGTTTCATCTTTTGGATGGCGAAATCGTCCTTCTTCGAAACAACTAAATTCTTCAATGTCATTTTGATGAGCAAAACATTCAGTTGACGTCGAAGTTGTTGACGCAAAAGGTGTTGTAGTCGATCTAGTATGTTCTGAAGATGATGGTTCAGCACTTTCTGAACTCAAGGTGGATGTTGAAGATGTTGTACTTGTCACCAAACAAGGACAAACATAGAAAATATTGCAAATTTGGAGTTCAGGGTCAAATCTCGAACCAGAAGGACAAGTATACTGTGTTTGGACGAAAGATCCATTTCTTAATAAATTACACAAAAAGTATGTTGTACAAGTTTCATCCTTTGGATGGCGAAATCGTCCTTCTTCGAAACAACTAAATTCTTCAATGTCATTTTGATGAGCAAAACATTCAGTTGACGTCGAAGTTGTTGACGCAAAAGGTGTTGTAGTCGATCTAGTATGTTCTGAAGATGATGGTTCAGCACTTTCTGAACTCAAGGTGGATGTTGAAGATGTTGTACTTGTCACCAAACAAGGACAAACATAGAAAATATTGCAAATTTGGAGTTCAGGGTCAAATCTCGAACCAGAAGGACAAGTATACTGTGTTTGAACAAAAGATCCATTTCTTAACAAATTACACAAAAAGTATGTTGTACAAGTTTCATCTTTCGGATGGCGAAATCGTCCCTCTTCGGAACAACTAAATTTTTCTATGTTATTTTGATAAGCAAAACATTCAGTTGACGTCGAAGTTGTTGACGCCAAAGGTGTTGTTGTCGATCTAGTATTTTCTGAAGATGATGGTTCAACACTTTCTGAACTCAAGGTAGATGTTGAAGATGTTGTACTTGTTACCAAACAAGGACACACGTAGAATATATTGCAGATTTGGAGTTCAGGATCAAACCTCGAACTAGAAGGACAAGTATACTGTGTTTGAACGAAAGATCCATTTCTTAATAAATTACACAAAAAGTATGTTGTACAAGTTTCATCTTTTGGATGGCGAAATCGTCCTTCTTCGGAACAACTAAATTCTTCTATGTTATTTTGATGAGCAAAACATTCAGTTGATGTCGAATTTGTTGACGCAAAAGGTGTTGTAGTCGATCTAGTATTTCCTGAAGATGATGGTTCAACACTTTCTGAACTCAAGGTAGATGTTGAAGATGTTGTACTTGTCACCAAACAAGGACACACGTAGAAAATATTGCAGATTTCGAGTTCAGGGTCAAACCTCGAACCAGAAGGACAAGTATACTGTGTTTGAACGAAAGATCCATTTCTTAACAAATTACACAAAAAGTATGTTGTACAAGTTTCATCTTTTGGATGGCGAAATCGTCCTTCTTCGAAACAACTAAATTCTTCAATGTCATTTTGATGAGCAAAACATTCAGTTGACGTCGAAGTTGTTGACGCAAAAGGTGTTGTAGTCGATCTAGTATGTTCTGAAGATGATGGTTCAGCACTTTCTGAACTCAAGGTGGATGTTGAAGATGTTGTACTTGTCACCAAACAAGGACAAACATAGAAAATATTGCAAATTTGGAGTTCAGGGTCAAATCTCGAACCAGAAGGACAAGTATACTGTGTTTGAACAAAAGATCCATTTCTTAACAAATTACACAAAAAGTATGTTGTACAAGTTTCATCTTTCGGATGGCGAAATCGTCCCTCTTCGGAACAACTAAATTTTTCTATGTTATTTTGATGAGCAAAACATTCAGTTGACGTCGAAGTTGTTGACGCAAAAGGTGATGTAGTCGATCTAGTAGTTCCTGAAGACGATGGTTCAACACTTTCTGAACTCAAGATAGATGTTGAAGATGTTGTACTTGTCACCAAACAAGGACAAACGTAGAAAATATTGCAGATTTGGAGTTCAGGGTCAAACGTCGAACCAGAAGGACAAGTATACTGTGTTTGAACGAAAGATCCATTTCTTAACAAATTGCACAAAAAGTATGTTGTACAAGTTTCATCTTTTGGATGGCGAAATCGTCCCTCTTCTGAACAACTAAATTCTTCTATGTTATTTTGATGGGCAAAACATTCAGTTGGCGTCGCAGTTGTTGACGCAAAAGGTGTTGTAGTCGATCTAGTGTTTCCTGAAGATGATGGTTCAACACTTGCTGAACTCAAGGTGGATGTTGAAGATGTTGTACTTGTTACCAAACAAGGACACACGTAGAATATATTGCAGATTTGAAGCTCAGGGTCAAACCTCGAACCAGAAGGACAAGTATACTGTGTTTGCACGAAAGATCCATTTCTTAACAAATTACACAAAAAGTATGTTGTACAAGTTTCATCTTTTGGATGGCGAAATCGTCCCTCTTCGGAACAACTAAATTCTTCTATGTTATTTTGATGAGCAAAACATTCAGTTGACGTCGAAGTTGTTGACGCAAAATGTGTTGTAGTCGATTTAGTATTTCCTGAAGATGATGGTTCAACACTTTCTGAACTCAAGGTAGATGTTGAAGATGTTGTACTTCTTACCAAGCAAGGACACACGTAGAAAATATTACAGATTTCGAGTTCAGGGTCAAACCTCGAACCTGAGGGACACGTATATTGTGTTTGAACGAAAGATCCATTTCTTAACAAATTACACAAAAAGTATGTTGTACAAGTTTCATCTTTTGGATGGCGAAATCGCCCTTCTTCGGAACAACAAAATTCTTCTATGTTATTTTGATGAGCAAAACATTCAGTTGACGTCGAAGTTGTTGACGCAAAAGGTGTTGTAGTCGATTTAGTATTTCCTGAAGATGATGGTTCAACACTTTCTGAACTCAAGGTAGATGTTGAAGATGTTGTACTTGTTACCAAACAAGGACACACGTAGAAAATGTTGCAGATTTGGAGTTCAGGGTCAAACCTCGAACCAGAAGGACAAGTATACGGTGTTTGAACGAAAGATCCATTTCTTAACAAATTACACAAAAAGTATGTTGTACAAGTTTCATCTTTTGGATGGCGAAATCGTCCCTCTTCTGAACAACTAAATTCTTCTATATTATTTTGATGAGCAAAACATTCAGTTGATGTCGAAGTTGTTGACGCAAAAGGTGTTGTAGTCAATCTAGTACTTTCTGAAGATGATGTTTCAACACTTTCTGAACTCAAGGTGGATGTTGAAGATGTTGTACTTGTCACCAAACAAGGACACAAGTAGAAAATATTGCAAATTTGGAGTTCAGGGTCAAACCTCGACCCAGAAGGACAAGTATACTGCGTTTGAATCAAAGATCCATTTCTTAACAAATTACATAAAAAATATGTTGTACAAGTTTCATCTTCTGGATGGCGAAATCGTCCCTTTTCAGAACAACTGAATTCTTCTATGTTATTTTGATGAGCAAAACATTGAGTTGACGTCGAAGTTGTTGACGGAAAAGGTGTTGTAGTCGATCTAGTATTTCCTGAAGATGATGGTTCAACACTTTCTGAACTCAAGGTGGATGTTGAAGATATTGTACTTGTTACCACACAAGGACAAAGGTAGAAAATATTGCAGATTTGGAGTTCAGGGTCAAACCTCGACCCAGAAGGACAAGTATACTGTGTTTGAATCAAAGATCCATTTCTTAACAAATTACATAAAAAATATGTTGTACAAGTTTCATCTTCTGGATGGCGAAATCGTCCCTTTTCAGAACAACTAAATTCTTCTATGTTATTTTGATGAGCAAAACATTCAGTTGACGTCGAAGTTGTTGACGCAAAAGGTGATGTAGTCGATCTAGTAGTTCCTGAAGACGATGGTTCAACACTTTCTGAACTCAAGATAGATGTTGAAGATGTTGTACTTGTCACCAAACAAGGACAAACGTAGAAAATATTGCAGATTTGGAGTTCAGGGTCAAACGTCGAACCAGAAGGACAAGTATACTGTGTTTGAACGAAAGATCCATTTCTTAACAAATTGCACAAAAAGTATGTTGTACAAGTTTCATCTTTTGGATGGCGAAATCGTCCCTCTTCTGAACAACTAAATTCTTCTATGTTATTTTGATGGGCAAAACATTCAGTTGGCGTCGCAGTTGTTGACGCAAAAGGTGTTGTAGTCGATCTAGTGTTTCCTGAAGATGATGGTTCAACACTTGCTGAACTCAAGGTGGATGTTGAAGATGTTGTACTTGTTACCAAACAAGGACACACGTAGAATATATTGCAGATTTGAAGCTCAGGGTCAAACCTCGAACCAGAAGGACAAGTATACTGTGTTTGCACGAAAGATCCATTTCTTAACAAATTACACAAAAAGTATGTTGTACAAGTTTCATCTTTTGGATGGCGAAATCGTCCCTCTTCGGAACAACTAAATTCTTCTATGTTATTTTGATGAGCAAAACATTCAGTTGACGTCGAAGTTGTTGACGCAAAATGTGTTGTAGTCGATTTAGTATTTCCTGAAGATGATGGTTCAACACTTTCTGAACTCAAGGTAGATGTTGAAGATGTTGTACTTCTTACCAAGCAAGGACACACGTAGAAAATATTACAGATTTCGAGTTCAGGGTCAAACCTCGAACCTGAGGGACACGTATATTGTGTTTGAACGAAAGATCCATTTCTTAACAAATTACACAAAAAGTATGTTGTACAAGTTTCATCTTTTGGATGGCGAAATCGTCCCTCTTCAAAACAACTAAATTCTTCTATATTATTTTGATGAGCAAAACATTCAGTTGACGTCGAAGTTGTTGACGCAAAAGATGTTGTAGTCGATTTAGTATTTCCTGAAGATGATGGTTCAACACTTTCTGAACTCAAGGTAGATGTTGAAGATGTTGTACTTGTTACCAAACAAGGACACACGTAGAAAATGTTGCAGATTTGGAGTTCAGGGTCAAACCTCGAACCAGAAGGACAAGTATACGGTGTTTGAACGAAAGATCCATTTCTTAACAAATTACACAAAAAGTATGTTGTACAAGTTTCATCTTTTGGATGGCGAAATCGTCCCTCTTCTGAACAACTAAATTCTTCTATATTATTTTGATGAGCAAAACATTCAGTTGATGTCGAAGTTGTTGACGCAAAAGGTGTTGTAGTCAATCTAGTACTTTCTGAAGATGATGGTTCAACACTTTCTGAACTTGGGGTATTGATTTCTGAAGTTGTACTGGTCACTTCACAAGGACACACGTAGAAAATGTTGCAAACTTGGAGTTCTGGATCAAATCGTGAACCAGCGGGACAACCATATTGTGTCTCAACGAACGATCCGTTTCGTAACAGATTACATAGGAAATATGTTGTACAACTTTCATCTTTGGGATTACGAAATCTGCCTTTTTCTGAACAACTAAATTCTTGCGTATTGTTTCTATCAACAAAACATTCCGTTGACGTAGAGGTTGTAAAGGTGAAAACTGTTGTGGGATATGTGATATGTTCTGAAGAAGAAGTTTCAGCACTTTCTGAACTCAAGTTAGCTGTTGAAGACGTTGTAATATCTTCTAATGGTGAAGTTTCTACAGTTGAAGTTGATACAACTGGTCGATTCGTACCACAAAGACAGTCATAAAACCCGCTACATATTTGAAGATCTGGATCAAAGAAAGAACCCAACGGACAACTGTACTCCGTTTGTATAAAAGAACCGTTCTGAAGAAGCGAACACAAAAAATATGTAGCACACGTGGTATCTTGTGGATTTTTAAATCTTCCTTTAGTCGAACATGTAAATTCTTCCAGTTGTGAAGTACCACAAGTGGAATTAATCACGCTGGTTGTAGTTACAACTTCTGACATTGTAGTTGGTTTAGCGGTGGTCACAGTACAGCGATAAAATAAAGTACAAATGTGAAGTACGGGATCGAATAAATGTCCAAGCGGACAGAGGTATTCTTTTTTTGCGTAGGTGCTATCTATGAGGAGATAACACAGATAATATTTAGTGCAGGTTGCATCCTCTGGATTACTAAATCTGCCAGTTCTGTTACACTTAAATTCAACATCTTCTTTCCCGTTGTAACGACCAGAAGTTTTTGTAGTTGTTACTTCTTTAGAAGATGATGTTGTTCGAAGCGGTGGTACTGTAGTCGTAAGAGATGTGTTCGTGCAAGGACAGACGTAACTGCTGCTGCATTGTTGCAAAGAGTCGTCAAAGTATGATCCCCCGGAACAAAAAAATTCATTTTTGAGAAAAACATTTTCTTGTAGTCGAGAACACAAGTAGTACTTGGTACAGGATAAGTCGTTCGGTTTTTTAAATCTTCCAATATCTGTGCATTCAAAGCGATCTTCTTCCACCAAGCACCTTCCAGGACAGCGATAACTGGAGGAACATTCTTCTAATTCAGAATCAAATCTACTGCCCTGGTTACACGTGTAGCTGTTTTTAACAAAAATTCCCCCCGGCAACTCACTACACAAATAATAACTAGAACACCCAGAATCTTGAGGATCCGGATATCTTCCACTTTGCGAACATTCAAAATTTGAAACAGCACTCAAGCAAGTTGCCACGTTATATAAACCCTACGAAAGTACCTGTCATTCATAAATAAAAAAATATATTAACTTACTAAAACGAAGACGATTTTCAAAATTATCATTATGACACTTGCAAGCTACTGCTGCACTGGACGCAAAAAAATGTATTTTCTGTTAGCATTCTGAGATAAATCACGTAGTCATTGACATAAAAGGATAATTAAATTATTGCTAGTGCTATAATTTTATTTTCGACAGATTATAAGCTGAACAAATCTTCCAGACAACAATAGCTTAATTAAAGCGGTGCCGCCGTTCGAAAAATTGTTTATTCCGCTTACAAGAATTGAAGAAATTCGGATAAGTGGTAATAAAATTTTGACACGAATTTTCGTATTGTTTTTCCAAAGAAGCGACTGTTTGAAGTGGTAGGGAAGCTGGGGTAAAAGGAACAAAAAAAAAATAGAAAAATAGTTCATCATTTTTTATTATTATTATTATTATTCATTTGACATATTTATATTAGCAACATCCTGAGGCAAGAGGACATTGTTCAATGGTCGGATACTGGTTAGTGATTCCCTGGCATTGGATGTACGTGTGTCTGCAGGTCTGGTTAAGCGCATTTGGGTCTGGTAATTTCTGCAGAGGCGGCTGGTTATCACAGAAGCTATCAATGCAAACAGACGTATAGTCACACTGCTGCGTAGTCGGGTTAAATTTCATGAAGGTACCACAACTAAGATCCGTCTTAATGAAGTAGATGTCCAGAATTACATTACACGTGAAGTACTTCTGGCAAGTTGGATCTTTGCTTTGGCGAAAACTGCCCACAGCTACGCAGTTCGTGGCCAAACTCATCCGAATAATCGACAAGTACTAAAAAAAAATGAAAAGAATTTTCGTAGAAGCAACTATTTCACGTACCGCTAGTAGCACCAATAAAAACTTCATCGTTAATTGGAGAAGAAAGATAAAATGCAGTTTAAATTGCATTTATTATACATGTCGTCCGATTTCAAGTGTTTGCTTTAATTGCATTTTGGATTAGGGAATTATTGCTGTAATTTACAACTGGCCATTCTAAGAAAGCAAGTTTGATTAGATTTTTGTATACAAATATTTGAAGAAGTGTAGCAACAACAGCTCAATGTCATTAACACATTTGGTGGAATTTTAGTGCCAGTAAAATTAATCCTGTGTAATTAAACGAGATAACGTGCATTCGAACGTCATCACCGAGTCCAGATTTCTCGTGGGGGTTTATGGAGGATTTAATGAAAAAAAAAAGTTCTTTGAAATTTTATTTTCAACAATTTTTGGTCAAACAACAACCAGGTTCTGGCAACAGATCCTTGTTAAAGTATCCAACTTCGCATGTTCTCACAGTCGGATAACGCTGACCTTCAGGGCCGACGCATTCTATGTAGGTCTTACAGTCATGTCCGTTGGGGTCCACTATTTTGGTAATGGAAGGTGGTAAATATCTGCAAATGTTATCGATGCAGTGGGCGTCCACCGAACAACGACCACTCGATGGGTTGAAAATGGAAGGTTCTGGGCAAACGTAGTTTCTCGAAACGAAAAGACCTTTGCTTTTGACGCAAAGGTAGTAGTTTCGGCAGGTTGGATCCAGCGACCTGAATCTTCCAGAAACTAAACACGTGTCTTGGGAATGGGTCCCGGTGACCAAAATCTAGAATGGGTTTGGTTGAAAGCGACGTCAAAAATTTTCGCCGACTTACCACTACAACAACTAGAATGGGCCTCATTATGTAATGTAACAATAAGACTGACTTAATCGAACGAAGACTTTATTTAAATACCAAAGACTGCTTAACATAAACAAACGCGAAGTGATAACGTTTGTTTTGCTTTTATTTCAAGACAATGGGTTGTTTTTTAAGTACTACAGTTTCCTTGAATCCAACAGTCTGGTTCTGGGTTGAAGTTGTTGTCGAATAGTAGGCCGTCTGGGCACGTTCCGACCACCGGGTAGCGGTCAATTATGCCCATGCACTGGATGTAGGTGTGACAGTCGGGCCCATTGGGGTCCGGCAACTTGGGGAAAAGTGGTACCAAAGGTACAGAATCGCAGATGTTGTCGATGCAAACCGCCGTGGTCGAACATGTTTGGCTCGTTGGGTCGAAAATCATGGTACTTGGACACGTGTAGTCACTCTTGACGTAGCCACCGTTGTACAAAACGCACAAGTAGTAGGAACGACAAGCTGAATCTTTGTACCTAAATCTTCCTGCAGACGTGCAGTTGTAGCTCTGCCCCCAAGCAGAGGCCACCATCAACTTGACAAAAAAATTGGGTAAAGAGTAAAACGTTAAAGTTAGCTTACCAAGATGCAGATGATCGTCTTCATCTCTGCCATCAAATGACTACTCACTCAAGTGCAATTAAATAAAACTGCATACAAGGTGCATTTTTTTATTTAAAGATAAGATAAAATACGAGAAAGTTATTTTGAGTAACTAGGATAAAGAAAGACACTTTTGAAGCTTTCAGCAACCTTTTGTTTCAACGTGTCTAACCATGTCGGGAAGTTCTCAGTTTCTTCCTCCTTGATGCCTATCACAGAGGGAAGTTGCGAAGACCTAACGGGTTCCATGGTCTGCCTAGCATGCTGATTGTGACCATCAACCCCCGAAGACCCCTGTGGTGGGACGATTTGCAACTCGGGCGTTGCCGAGGGCATTTGATGCACGACGGCTTCCGAGTCGGGTTGCAAATAGTGACCCTCTATGCTCGAAGAAGGCGTGACGGTCTGAAGGGTGGGGTGCATTTGGTAACCTTTCATCACCGAAGATACTTGGGGTGCGACGGTGGGCCCGTAGGAGTGCTTAGCGTAACCCTGCGGGGCCAAGACCCGCACGTCGGGGTAGTAGTAACCGTTCGCCTCCACAGGGTAGTCGTAGGAGGTACGATCACCGTAACCGTAATTATAACGATGATTGAAATTATTTATTGAGTTGACGTTTTCGTTGGAAGAGGGATTACATGATTGGTGCCTGGATAATACGTCACCTAGATAAGTGCGCAACAACGAACTCAATTGATGATCGAAATTGCCACCTTGGGAATTATCCATTGGTTGAGATAAGTCGATTTCCACTTCTTTGTAAACCTCTTCGACTTTTCCAACGTCGCCTTCGACACCCAAGTTCAGTTTTATCTTGACTTTTCCATTTTGACAGGGATAGGTGTCGGAACCGATTGGTTGGTTAATCCGGACATCGCCTCTTGGGTAATTAGCATTGCTGAACTGTTGACTACCATAGCTCAGCGGTTGCTGACTACGAGAATGGAACGGCTGCTGACCTCCATAACCGTACATTTGGTGACCACCATAACCGTGCTGGTCAGAAAACGCGTACGGCTGGTTATTACCGAAACCCATAGCGCTATTACCAACAAGGTTCCGTGCATTACCATTCCAACTTGCACTGACCTGATCTGCACTCAGTGGACCTGACTGACCCATAGTGGGTGGATACCCGTATAACATTGCCATCACTTGGTCCCAGACGCCAGGGCTTTCCATGCCTTCGAAATCAGATTCCTTAGTCGGCGAAATTGGGATAGTATTTTTCAGTCCTCTAAAAGCTGCACTGTCAGCTGCACTGCTGGATATACCCGTATTGGCTTCCCCGTTCGACGAAAATGAGACAGCACCTTCCGCAGCTGTAAATCGAAAATTGTTACTACGTTTAGTTATTAAGATTTTGTAAGTATAACCTCCGGGCATAACATAGCCGTTGTCCATTCCCACTACGTTATTGTATGTTTCTCCGTAAGCTCCGATACCTTTTGCTTGGTCGGGTTCATCAGCTGGATTGTCAGCTTCACTGCTGGATGTATCCAAATTGGCTTCCTCTTTCGACGAAAATGAGACAGCACCTTCCGCAGCTACAAATCAAAAATTATTACTACCTTTAATTATTAAGATGCTGTAAGTATAACCTCCGGGCATAACATAGCCGTTGTCCATTCCCACTACGTTATTGTGTGTTCCTTCGTAAGCTTCGATACCCTTTGCTTGGTCGGATTCATCATCAGCTGCATTGTCAGCTTCACCACTAAATGCATCTGCATCGGCTTCCCCATTCGACGGGAATGAGACAGCACCGTCCATAGCTGTAAACCCAAAATTCTTACTACCTTTATTAACTAAGATACTATGAGTATAACCTCCGGGCATAACATAGCCGTTGTACATTCCCACTAAGTTAGTGTGTGTTCCACCGTAAGCCCCGATACCCGTTGCTTGGTCGGGTTCATAATCAGCTGCATTGTAAGCTTCACCACTGAATGCATCTGCATCAGCTTCCCCATTCGACGGAAATGAGACACCACCTTCCAACGCTGTAAACCCAAAACTGTTACTACCTTTATTAACTAAGGTACTATAAGTATAACCTCCGGGCATAACATAGCCGTTGTACATTCCCATTACGTTCGTGTGTGTTCCATCGTAAGCTCCGATACCCTGTCCACTGTCAGCTTCACCACTAAATGCATCCGCATCGACTTCCCCATTCGACGGAAATGAGACGCCACCTTCCAACGCTGTAAACCCTAAACTGTTACTACCTTTATTAACTAGGATACTATAAGTATAACCTCCGGGCATAACATAGCCGTTATACATTCCCTCTAAGTTAGTGTGTGTTCCACCGTAAGCTCCGACGCCCTTTGCTTGGTCGGGTTGATCATCAGCTGCATTGTCAGCTTCACCATACGCCGAAAATGAGTCACTATCTTCCAACCCTGTAAACCCAAAACTATTACTACCTTTAGTAGCTTGATCGGGTTCATCATCACCTGCATTGTCAGTTTGACTGTCAGCTCCACTGCTAGATGCATCCTCATGGGCTCTCCCATTCGACGAAAATCCTGTAAACCCAAAACTGTTACTACCTTTAGTAACTAAGATACTATAAGTATAACCTGCGGGTGAAACATTGTCGCTGTGCATTCTCGCTACATTCGTTATTGTGTTGTTCTGATCATCGGGTAGACTCTCAAAGTCACTCTCATCTTTGCTGGAGCTTTTACTGTCGTCTTCTCCGCTGCTTACACTATCAGCTGCGGACGTTCCACTGTCAGCGTCGCTGCCGGTTTCGTTGTCGGCTTCACTGGTTCCACTGTCGGTTTCGCCGCTGGCTTTACTTTCAGCTTCGCCGCTGACATTACTGTTAGCTTCGCCAAGATCGCTGAGGCTTTCGGAGTCGTGCCCGTTTACAGATACCACTGAATTCATGTCCAGTTCTTCCTTAATGGGTTTCAATTTTACTTCAGTTCTTGCCTTCTCCCGCGTCCCCAAGAACGTCCTAATATAAGCTTTCCCTGATTTACAGATCGAGGTTTTGTTATATTTCGTTGTTTCTTCGGCATCGTCCTTGATGGTGATGAAATCTAACACTTGCTTCGACCCTTTAGTTTTACTCGTTATTTCATATTGTTCGACTTGGTCATCATTTTCGGGAATAGGTTCCGTGGCAGTTACTGACAAGCTAATCGAATACTCCACATACCCGGCACTACTACCATTAGAAAAAAAATGTAGAATTGTTTCTTCGTTCCAGCAAATAGTAGTATGGTCGTCATTCTCGTATAAACTAGAAGAAACTTTAACTACATCGGGATGTGCCGTATCAGGGAAAATATTTTCTACTTCTTTTAATCCATGTTCAAGTTCCTGAGGTTGGAATATCGACTTGGTGGACGTAAAAGTAAATAACAAGCAAAAGTACGTCTGAAAAAAGATTACAGACGAAATTAACATTTTCACAAGTTGAGCAAATTTTCAAACACCGCGGACATGGAACAAAACTGAGAATCAATCGATCTAGTGGGAGCTTCAATCAAAAGATAAAGATTCATACCTCGAAAATGTGTGGATTTTAATCAACCAAAAAAAAAATAAAATCGCCTGTAAAACGTCCTATTAAATCAGGATAAATCGTCTTTGTTTATTTTTTCAAATGTACGTCCAATCTGTGCACACAGACAATGGGCAATAATTTTTTGATTAAATCGTTTTTATCGTAAAAAATCAAAGATGTGAAGGTGCACCATGACATTGATTTTACAGACGTCAACTTTCTGGGATTTAGGCTTGCCTGAATAAAACCGACAACAGTAAGAACGGACAAGAGGCTTCTAAACTAATTTTTAATTTGGGGTAGCATGAAAACTGAAGTATTCTATTTCGAAAAAAAAAAATTAATTAATTAACTAAATTCGAAATAAACGAAAAATCGAAAATTAAAAAAGTAAAACGAAAAAGCAGAAAATTG